ACTACAGGCTGATATTAAAAAGTTTATTCATTTTTCATCATCTAGCATCTTATCCAGATAGATTGATTGACTATACTGATAACTAGCGGTAAACGTCGTTACAGTGTTCCTTTAAATGAATTGACCTGCGCACAAGTGGAAAGTATGTGTACTGTTGTCATGGTATCGGGTAGCGGCCATGTTGGCTTTTCAAACTGGTCAGATCAAAACAAGCGAGCTTAAATTAATTCACAGTTGCACTCAATAATCCTGTAATTTTTTAAAATGCACATCAAATATCCGAAAAAGAAGGACTTCTTCACATGGGAAGAACTGGGGTAAGGTTTGCTGTCGATTTGTAGAAACTGGAAGCCGATTTTACAGTAGATTCGAAGCACTTGCGATAAGATTAATTATCTTTACGTCGTTCGCATTTAATCATTTTAAAAACATCTCTACTGATGTTTTGGTCGTTTTATTTTACAACTAAATAACTAAGTTGATGCATTCTAAATTATTATTATTTCTTTTCAGATGTCTAGCCAAGGCTCTCGGGGTGAGTATCAAAGAATAGTATTCGCGCGCTTCGCTTCGTGAATCTAATGAAATTTTACACAAATAATTAATCCAAAAGACTAAACAATAAATCATACAAGTCTAAAACATCCTACATAAGCTTCTGACAAAACTCTTATCATTAGTATCTATTAGTGTCTTTTTGTTGCTCTTTCATTTTATATTTGAATTATCTTCACGTGAGATTGTTTTGATCGGCAAAAATTCCAAACATTTTTACAGAAAACCACTAAAGTGCATGCTGAAATGAATCTTTGATTTTAAGTTTTACATTCGATTATTTACCGGACGGATCTTTGATTTGTTGACTCAGGAGCTCACTCCCCACGAAAACATTAATTTTATATTGTCAGAGATGTCGGTCATGTTCCTATATTTTTGACAACATCCTGGGCAGAACGGTTTTTTTTTTACAAGAATGTAAAAACCATTGCAGTGTTAAAATAAAGAAACCTTTAAAGTGTAAATAGCACCACACCAAGGAAAGCAATATATAATAAAAATGAATTATTACCAGCTAAAAAAATGCTATGACAGCCGGGGTGTTCCAAACCTTTTCTTGGGATCGAGAGGCTGCAGTCCAACTTGACTAAAAATCAGTCAAAAATAAATTGACTTGCACAAAACTGACATGATTTTTAAAATTTGCAAGCGTTTTCATGAATTGCTGGGATCTTCCCTGGAGAAACTTTGTCCAGCATATCTAACAGACAGAGACTGAGAATAGACCTCTTTACGTTAGAATAAGAATCTCTGTTTAGTTGTATCCACATTCATGTGTTTTCTTTGGATTGATACTCTTAGGAATAACACATGGTCTGTAATGGGAAACCATTACACCCAAGTTAATAGAGTACCGAAGTAAGAAGTCATCAAATTACAAATTTCACAATTCAGTTTTGAAATGTTCATATTTGAAGAGAACACACCATTGCCTATGTTTCTGCCAACTTACTTTAAGGTTGTTCTGAGCTTTAAAAATGGAGATATTTATGCTCCAAAAAGCCCATACATTTTCTGTTATTTTGGACTGGATCCAATCACGTTAGATCCAGCCTCAAATAAGAGAAAATGTATGGGGATATTTTTAGTATTAAATTACCTATATCTCTGTCATTTTTCAATCTATTGCTCTGAAATTTTGCTCCATATCATATTTTTGCATACAGTTTCTGAGAATTCGCTAAAATCCTAAATGCCTTTGAAAACAATTTCGTGATGTCATCACTTTGGTACTCTATGGGGTCTATCTAATAACCAGAATGTATATATAAGAAACCTAAAATATCATTCCTACCTTGATTAATTTTGAA